TTATTCAAATCGGTCCAGCCGTTTTTGAGTTTTAGCGAGACTAACAAACAGCAATAAAAAAATAAATAAATGAATAATACAAATAATGTACCTACATTATTTGTCTTATTAAAACCATTGTATTTAAGTCAATCAATTTATTATTTTTATACTGGTACAAGTAGTACAATAATCAAATATAGTATAACATCGTATTCGTAAATTGAATAGAATTACGCAGATATTAAATAAATTTTCATAGTAATTTAAAATTCATAATTGAATTTATTTTTATTATGTTACTTAATTGGTTCTCGAATCGAATTTATATAATGAAAATAAAATATATGTTCATTTATTTATATTAAACCTATTTAAAATTAATACAAAAAATTATAACTACACATTTGAGCTCATTAAAAGCATGTATTCAGCCCTTTTTAACGTCCCACTGCTGGGCACGGGCCTCCCTTCAGTATGAGGGGGATCAGACTATAGTCCACCACGCGGCCAAGTGCGAGTTGGCGGACTTCACATGTCTTTGGTCTGTTGGTCGACGAAAAAAATCATACATTTTTATAATTATTATACAGTCACTTCACTTTAACTGTAACTATTCATATCACTTTAATTCGATAAAGAGTACCCATAAAATATAACTGCTGTAAAAGATGGATGTACACGATATAACATACCATAGAAGTAGTAAGAGGTCGGAAGGCTAGCGAGAAAACTATTTAGTTTTAATTTTATGTTTTCAACTCAACTTATAGCAAACTAAGCTATGTGAAAAAAATATTTCTAATTAGAATTGCCATTATATACTATATGCCAATATACCATTGTATATGTACAAGTAGTGCGCTTTTAAGCGATCAAATAGGTTACTATAGTGTCATTCCAAAAAGGTTAATAGTATAGGTTATAAAGACGTACATACGTTATAGAATCACTGACAAACAGATTTAGATATATATCTTTAAATTTGTTTAACAGTAAACTCAAATCAAAGTTCGGTCTATGAATACCAGCATATGGCATCGTTCAAAACACGGTATTAAGATGAATGGGCACTGCACTTCGTTAAGCGTATTATTGACGAATGAAATAACTATGAAAGGATCATAGTTATTATTGAAGATAAGCAGAAGAAAGTACTTTACGTTATTAAATAACATTTTATACATATTATATGTTCATATTAATGACCCGGCAATATGATTGGGCTGACTGCATTAGACTGAATTTGTGAATAAAATGAAATTGTATTTATTTAGAACTAGCGGCTCTCCTTCGCGTCGCTTCTTGTGTCTAGGTGATTCTTTAAATTGATAAAACTTTTTTATTTATGAACTTGATTGATTGAAATAAAACAAACACTAAATGTTAAGTGAAGCTTACCACAATACAATAGTTAAAATCACACTCAAATCGGTTAAGCTGTTTCTGAGATTAGTGCGCATAAACGCACAGATAAACATCCAAATAGACAAAAATTCTAAAAATCATTTTTAAATTCTATAAAATTAATAAAGATCCCCAATAATAGTTTTTTCCAAATATCTTTCGTGTACAGACAGCAATCAGTTAGTTACACTTTTATTATATGTATAGAATTATATGGACAGATAAAACATTCGTTCAACAAAAAAATGAATTTTACAATATAGAGAAATAAGATTATCTATGTAAATTATTTTTAAAGTATTAATCTCTACAAATAAATAAAATAGAAGTGTCTGTTTGTAATATCAAAATACCGGGTTTTTAATAAATACATATAAAAGTATAAACGTTACTTATGACAAAAAAATATTTTTTTAAATTTTGTCTATATTTGTTCCAGCTAATCTCTTAAATGGATAGACCGATTTTGACGGAACTTTCATTGGCAGATAGCTGATGTTGCAAGGAGTCACTTACTCTCTACGCTTTTTAAAAAAAAAAGAATTAAGAGTCCTATGCAAAAAAATTAAAACCTATGATATTATGAAAAAAATCCGCGTACGTCACCAAGCGTAAGTAAGTCGCCAGTTTAAAAATAAGACTATACTCATTAAAAAAGTAAATGCAATATATAATATTCTAAAGATTTATTTAATTTTTTCCAGCAATTTTGTAACGTATGGACGTCATTTTTGATCTTTTAAATCTTCAATTCATAGTATGAATCAGTGGAAGCGAGCTGTGTCATGACTCCTGACAGCGTGTCAGCCGTCACGCTGATACCCTGGCACGCCGTTTAACCACGTCTGCGAATGAGTGCCGCTTACAACATTGTGAAATCAACTGATGTTTTGTACAAAAGTTAAATTTACAAAGAAATTGTTTCATGTTATAGGAATTGTTTTCATGATATAGGAATTCTGATTAAAAATTCTTATTATTTATCAAGTTTTATTAGTGTAATAATGTAATATTTTTCTTCAAAATATCTTTAATTTCAGACTTTACTTAGGAGAGCTGGTAAGTGATGGAAAATATTTTGTATGTCGTAATCGTGTACCTTCTAGAGGAGTGGAATATTAAATATCATCATATTTTACACAGATTGGGTAGTTGCTAATTCTAATCTTTAATGGAGCGCACAATCAGACTGACACATTTGTTGCCTAAAAACTGTTGAACTGGCTTCTTCTTTCCAAGCATCACAAAAAGTTAACTTTTACTACGCTATAAATTCAAATTTTACTTCATTCAATTAGAATTTTGCAAGCATGCACTTTTGGGTTCTCAAATTAATTAAAAAAGAGTCATTGCAGATTCTCAACATTATTTCTTATATTCGTTTTTAAATTCTAATTTAGTAGTAGTTTAAAACATTAGACATTTTAAATTAAGTATCTTTTTTTTGCGGATTTATTTGGATTTTTGTGACTTTAGTCTCTTCCGTGACCATGATTGTTGTAAAACATTCGAAATGCCGAGAACCGAAAATCAAATTAAATACGCGAAAAATCCGAAAAATTCGTTTTCTTTATATAATTATAGCATTATCCTCATGTGCATGCTTCGAAAGTTTTATGTTTGTTTGTATTTACTTAATAAATTACTTAATTTATACACAGACTCACTCAATATTCATCGCATAACTCAAACCTTTGGGTCTAGAAGCATGAAATGTGCAAGAATTCTATAAAAAAAAATAAGGAAAAATGTAAGAATTATTGTTAAATTTAACCCTTAGAAGGGTTGAACAGGGCAAAAAAGTTTGAACGGAATACCCTCAGCGGGATTAAACCCGCGACCGCTGGCACAGCAAGTAGATGAAAAATGATGTAAGGTTGAGGAAACATTATGATCCAATACTTACGTCACTCCTGTAATACATATATATTAGAACAGTCACATCGACCACCCACCAAGTTGCCAGTACTTGTAAAGTTTAGTGCGTGCAGGTCAAGTTGCGACTCATTCGACCGATCTCTATACTACAGTGAGTATGTTTTCTTAGTTTTGGGATATTGTCTAGTTATTTATTCGTATTAGTTTATCAAAAATAATAGAAATTGCATATTTTTACTAACAAATATTAAATCGTTTATGTTATAATGTATGTGGTTTTGCAATAATTGTAATAAATGATGTCTATATATTTGTTCATAAATTTATTTTTAATAATTTTTAATTTTTGTTCACCATTTAAAATATTAATACTATTTTTTACCTGAGAGACCTCCCGAGACCATGATTGCTATAAAGCATTCGAAAAGTCGGGATTAAAAAATCAAAATAAATCCGCGAAATAATCCGAAAAGATAGTTTTATTTTAAATGTCAAATAGTCGCGTAAATCTAAGAAATATTTTTTTTCATTTCAGCTCCATAAAATGGCCGTGTCATACTTATATTGACACTTACAAGGGTTCCATTCTTCTGGGTACGGAACCCTTAACAGTAACCAAAATCTCTCCAAGATTAAGGCGTTCAGATAGAAGAAGTTGCAACAGACTTTATTTCATATTCAAATTAATAAGGAATTAATGGTTTTAATCTCATAAATTATTGAATTTATTTCTAAGAAATGAGTAAATTTCATAACTTCTCATACGTTAGTCTCTCTCATCTATATATTTGTTTAGAGTCAATTATCTGGTAATACTTAATCAGACCAGATTTCCTTACTCTACATATTTATCTTAAAATCCCATAAATCTTTGCCGCCCTACTACGGATGAGGCGTGCGCTTGCGATGATAGCGAAATGTATGCGTTGATGGATATACTGTACCACACTGAAATATGTTAGACGAAAATAAATTTAGTTAGCTACTGCATAAGGGTGAAAATAGTATGAGTTTATAAATAACTAAAACAGTCACCAGCTTGAGCTGTATAAGGTATGAACTTCCGTTGCTTTATATGAATACGACTTTATGTTATGGTGTTAGATTAAAATTTTAAATATTAAGAAGTTATGTTACACGTTAGAAGAGCTTAAAGCTTTAGAAAGTTCTTTAATAATAGAGTAAGTAGTTTAATTATAAAAGTCATGAAAATTTTATAGAAACTCATGAACTAGAGTAAAATATGTATAATGTAAACTATATATTATAAATTAAGGTTGCATTTGTGTTTGTTCGGACTAATCTCAGAAACTACCTATTCTACGGATTTTCTTTGGGTTTTCATTAATAGAAAGAGATTATCTATGATAATTTATAATTTATAGTTTATTAAACTATAGTTACATATTCGTATACTATTTTTTGCTTATAATGTAGTTCGCATCTCGTATCAAAGAATGTGACATCGAAAGCTTACGATACGTAATGAAAGTGATTTTTTTTAAATCAAAGTTTATATTATATAATACACACAAATCATTCTTGGCTTTTTATAATATGTATTACTTAATAGTTACATCGTAATAATAGTAGATAGGTAAGGTAAGGTAAGCTTTAACACGTACATACATAAAGATGTCATAAAAGAAAAACAGATGAGTTGTAAAAAACCAAAGAAATGCTTTATTTTAAGTATAGTTATTTCTTTAACTAAAATAACTAATTTTAAAACTTACCGATTAATAAACAGCTATGTTGTTCTTTATGCTTTAAAACCTGAAACAAATAAGTTGATCGTGTAGTGTATGTACATACATTTACTATATTATTTATTGTAATCCTTACTTATATTAAAGTATGAAAAGGTGTCTGTTTATCCGTTTTGTTTCCATAACTGTATCACTAGATTTCGATGAAATTTAGTTCATAACTCATTTTAGAAGTTGCTTAAAAACGTAAGCTACGTTTTTGAATGACTAAAGTCAGTCAAAGCAAATGAAAATGAAACAAGCCATAAAAACACTATATATATAGTACATTGATGTTACAGAAAATGCTTGAGATTAAATTCAATTCGATTAACATTATTAATGATCAAATCGATGTTCCATTATCTCAAGGGGCAAAACGCCAAGACATGGTGTTAGAATAATTGTCTAAGTCCCTTGGCAGCTTCGCTCGCACTGCAATTTGCCAGAGTACTGTATAAAAGTGCAAGAATTTGACGATGATATATGAGACTAGCAATCTCTCGTGGTTTTACACGTATTTCTATCTATTGTTTCTACTACCATTCGCCATATTATATTAAAGTATATTTATTTCTAAGTACAGAATAATTTTATTCTTAATGCAACTATTCAGTTATTTCAAAATATCTTTTTAGAAGTTCAGTACTATTACAGATTTATAAAGAAAACCAAGTACTTTTCCTGCTACCCTTACTCATATTATTACGAACATTTAAAAAAAATTGGTAATTTGGTCTTTTTAGAGTGATACGCTGCTAATGGACAGAATTTGATTTTTATTATATATGTACATAGAATGTGTAAACGATTCCGCTGGCTATATATAACACACAGCCAGTGATATAAACAAAAAACAAAATAAGTTTTTATTATTAAAATAGTTATTACTATATTTAAATGTATGGAGGATACTGTCTTCGTCATAAGTCTCGAGTCCGATACCTGCCTGAAACGAAGATATCCTACTAATTCATATTTAATGTTATAAATTGTGAGGATGGATAAATGGATGTTCCTCTTGCACGCCAGATCTGCTGAATGGATTCAAATGAAATTTGGTACAGAGATAGATTATAGTCTGGAATAGCATATAGGTTACTTATTATCCCGAAAAAATGTACGATTCCCGTGGATTACTTTGTTTTTGTTTAGGAACGAGCCCGAAATGAAGCGAGGATGACTCGTTGGTATGTACTCGTACATATTATGTGTTAATTAATCATGTAAATATTTCACTTTGTCTGATCCTATGCAGAGCTCAGCAGAAATTCCGTCAATCAATAGTATTCAATCAAAGGAAAGTGGAGAACTGATTTAGTATCTCTACGTGCTTGGAACTCGTACCGTTTTATTATAAGAATGAATGAACTGACCAACGGATATATTTTTGATGCGTATTTTCCTTTTAAAGTGGACTGACTACATGTCTGAAAGTGGTCTAACCCCATAAATATTTGGACTTGTTTTATCGATTCACAGCAGAGCAACAACAAAAGAACCTTAAAAACACTTTTCTCGTAATATTATACAAAACTTATAATAGCATACGTTCTATTAATCGGCATACTAGTTACATACTCTTGCTGCGTTGCTGCGTTTTACATTTATAATATAATTCCGCACTCATTTCGCTCATCAACTTAATTGCAAAACAAATACATACTTATTTCTGTTTTTTTAATTTCTAATTAATTAGTGAAAATTTTAACTAAATTTGTTGCGTAGATTTTCTGAAGTAAGCGCACAAACAGACACAAGAACAATAACTGTATTTCATATTATTTATTGTCATGTAATGTACAACGCTTTACAATATAAGCCAGAAATATAGGCAAATGGACAATTTGACCTTTTATCAATTTCAATTTTATTTTTTACTATTCTCTATACTCGATTAGTTTCCACAGGGACCGTTCATTTTTCCGGGATGAAAAGTAACCTGTAGTTTGACCGGCAATATAAGGTATCAGAATGTAAAACTTTACTAAATTAGGTGTATAAGTTGTTATGTACTAAGCTGTATAAGATACTATAGTTTTTTAACTATCCCACGTGAACTCTTTAATTTTCCGAGATGAAAATTATCAAAGATATTGACCGGGGATATAAGGTACCACTATGCAAAATTTCATTTAAATCGGTTCAACAGTTTCAGAGATGAGCACGTAAAAACATACAAACAGGCAAAGTGACAAACAGACAAACAGACAAAACTTTTAATATCTATTGTTTTGGGGTCTATATTGTGTACATAATACGTTACAAACAAACAAAAACAGATCTATCCCACGGAAACCGTTCATTTTTTCGGGATGAAAAGTAACCTGTTTGTTTGACCGGCAATATAAGGTATCATCATGCTAAAATTTACTAAATTAGGTGCATAAGTTGTTGTGTACTAAGCTGTATAAGTTACTATAATTTTTTAACTATCCCACGGGAAGTTTTTAATTTTCCGGAATGAAAAGTATCTTACATGTTGACCGGGGATATAAGGTACGACCATGCAAAATTTCATTTAAATCAATCCAATAGTTTTAGAGATTAGCCCGTACAAACAGACAAACAGACAGAGGAAAAAAATGAAAAAAATCTGGATTTGTTCTATTTTTTTTCTTACGGGATTTAAGAAGATAACTGACTCGGTTTTTAGCATTTTTTTTCTATGTACAGACATTCGACCTCTACTGTTTTATTATAGTATAGACTAGCATTGCCCGCGGCTTCGCATTCGTTCATAAGACCCAAAACCAAATTCTTAGGTTTTACATATTTGTATACTCTTACATTGCAGTTTTTGTATTTTTTTCTCAAAAATGAGATATTTTCCCGTGGTAAAAAGTATCCTATATGTTGACCCGGATAATCAGCTATACTAGACACTACACTACTACTACACTACCACAGCATACTAAATTTTATTAAAATCCCTCCAGTGGTTTTTCTGTGATGCGGTAATGGACAGACAGATAGACAGACAGACAGCCAAAATTCTAAAAACTATAGATTCGGCCTCTGTATCGATAATAATGTCTATTTCAAAAAAAAACAAATAATATCGAATGTACAGATTCGGCTTAGTTACAATTTTATTATATGTATGTATAAATGTAGCCTTAAAACTATTTTTGCATGTTTGCTAATTTACCAAAACTAACAACGTAACTATTATAACAAAAATAAGTATTTAATAAGATTTCACTGCAGCTTAAAACTTTTTACTTTACCTAGATAAAATTTATTCAACGTATAGAAATATTGCTCGACAACTCCACTTTGACAAATAACTAAAAACTGGGAAAATGTAGAGTGGGATCGAAATCGCTATATTATTTACGAGGAATAATTTCCAATCGTAATTACAGAAGCAACTTGCTATTGATGAGTCGGTGTCGTGACTAGAGCCATTACTTTTAAATGACGTATTGTACATGTGTACTTTGGTAGAGTTCAGTCCCCCGTAACAATTTGTTCATATCGTACAATGAAATGAATAAACAATAAGATTACAACGTATAGTCGATATTTCAAAATATACTACTAGCATATATTATTAGGAGAACCCGCAGCTACGCCCGTGTTCAATCTACAACAAAAACTTTTTAGCTTTATGTTATACAGCGACTTATCTTCGTCGCTATGTATTAATATAATATTGTCCATACAAAAATACTAAAATCGCGATTAAAAAGTGCGGGGTGGGGGTAGAAGGGTGAAAAACACCGTGACCCGAGATATTTATATATTAGATAATTTACTAACCACAAAACTCTCTATCTACTCTACTAGTACGTATTTATACATATTGTCTGTTCTAACATTTACACTACATCTATAAGAAAATAATAAACATTTAATATAACAGTTTTAGTAGACACTCTGGTCGCGGTCTCTTTGGCCTGAAACTGTGGTAAAAAACATGGAAAACTCGTGTTCGAGTCACATAACGCTTAAATATTGTGTTCATACATTTATATTTATTTATCGGCAATGGCGTTTATAGAATATATTATGTATGTATATATATCAATGTATATAAGAGCCTCGATTTACTGTAAATCGATAAAATTCCCTCCACAAACAACATATCGTAATCAATTATTTAAACAGCTACTTTGATGATATCTTACTTAAAAGTAAATATAATCTACATAAAGTAATAAGTAAGCCATAAAAACACAAAGGGGTGACAAAAAAGTATAAAAGGCGCGTCAAGATAACAATGTAGGCGCTGAACCGTTGGACGTATCTCAATAGAATCAATACGACAATTAAAATACACGAGAGGCGTCGGGAGCCGCAACAAGAGCAGTGCTAATGTCTAATACAATTGTAGCGAGTGCTGTTCATATAGCAAGGGCGTAAAGATAGTGTTGTTGTTATAAAGATGTTTTTAAATATTTTGTATATCGATAATAATATTACACGTTTAATAATTATTTAGCTCTAGCTGTCTGTAAAGCGGATTCATGAAACCTACCTTGAACCTTATCGAAGGAAATATTCTTTTGCTTAAATTAAATCCAAAAATAAAGTAGTGAACAAAGGTTAATATGAAAAAAAACTTGTTCTAGTTATCAAATTTAAAAAAACCGAGTGAAGCAGTGGTAAATTTTGTAAAATAATATGATTTTGATATTTTATGTATTTAAATATATTTGTGAAATAATGTTACATCACAAGAACGCTAGTGTAATTCTTGTACGTAGTGAATTTTGAATTAATCATACAAAAGTTTATCTCAGTTGATGATTGTTTATATACAGATAATGATTGTTTATATTTATATATATGTTTATATTTAAGAGAAAGATATGAAGGTACAAAACAAAAAGACATTTTAGTAATGTTGTGTTATCAATAAAAAAGTATTGTATTTCCATATTAAGTAAGTAAGCATAACCTACAAATACGTTACCCATGAAACATACGATTAAACTAATGTGTATTGCTTTTTAATAAGGATCAACTATTACATTTTCTATAACGAAAATGAAAAATGTCTGTTTTCCCTTACTCAGATATTATCTATATAATTACCCCAAATAATATAGAATTCTATCGATACACGCACATCCCTATCACTCCCCTTGCTTGTCATTAAGGGTGATCCATCAAAACGTCCGCCAGGATTTAGGGTGTACAACGCTTGCGCTGTAGCCTCGAGGCGTGGAGGGCGGCAAAGAGGGGTAACAAACAAAATTAGATATTCGTGCGGTGTCCCAAAGCGGAGTACCTCTGATTGATTGCTTTTCCAAAGATTTTCATTTTTACCACCCCTAAATTGCATTTGTACAGGTCGTTACTCCGTCTGCGACTATTTACTTAGTGGCTGTGCTTAATTTTGCATTTTCAAGGAGACCTCTCTGGTAATTAGGCTTGAGATGTGTTAAGGATGTAAAGAGAGTAAAAATTTGATAATTAACATAAATGCTGATGGGCTGGAGTGTAAGCAAAAGTAAAAAGAGTTTAAGTAGTGGTTTTACTCTGCTGCTTCTACTTTTTATAAAAATATTGTAAAATGCAGTATTCGGCATACGTTTTGGTGAAATAATATGTTAATTTATTATTTTTAATTATACAAAATACAGATATTATAATATAGGCACACACTTTGCATGTTATGAGTACCTATCTAGAGTAATATATAATACACATAATATAATTAGAATATACAAGACTACAATTAAAAGAAGTTAAAATCTGATTTAGTCTACAATGAAATAATTAAAAAAGTTAAAAAATACTATAGCCACCTACCATAGAATTTGTGATATTGAAAAATATTTCTGTACGAGTATTTAGACCACGTATTGTTAGCTAGTTGCCAGTAGGCAGTAGACCAGCCATCCACTCGAACTAAAACAAACAATTCAAAAGAAAACCCCTCCAAAGCGAGCAATGAGCGCCTTGCATTGGAACTTGGCTTACAAACAAAGAGGAAACTACGTAAGTATTGGTATTGACTATTCATTTCCAATAACACAATGGATTACTTGCAGAAATTTGCAGATAATTATTATTAAGTACTTCAAGTAAGATGTTTTAACTTCGTGTTTTTAGTCATTTTCTACAATATGTGTATTCTTTTCTTAATATTGGATATGTAAATGTATTGGAAAAGTAAGCGCCATAGCACTCTTTCAGCAAATAAAAATAAATAGTAAATTATATTTCATAAATCCACCGTAAAGTAAACAAAGGATAAATTAACAATAATTTAATACTACGATATTTTTAACAATTTTAAATAAAACTATCTTTTCAGATTATTTCGAGGATTTATTTTGATTTTTGGTTCCCGACGTTTCGAATGCTTTACAGCAATCATGGTCACGGGAGAGACTAAGGTTTTAGACGTCTTAACTGCGTTATATTATACTTGTTACGAACAGGGCCTACCCACAATTTCTATAATAACTACAATATTAATATATTCTTAATATTTAAAAAAAATACACTTTTAATACCACTAAGAATCAACTTATTGTCCTTCTTATGTATGGCTAGGAATTGATAATAAAAATAGTGTATTTCACAGCTATAATAAAAACCTATTGATAAGTATTTAAATGTAACTAGTGATAGCCAGTGGTTGAAATTCGAAAAGATTTTTTTTTATTAATAACACTAAAACTCGTTTCTTTTTTGTTTAGAGCTAACTAAAAAAAAAGAAGAAAATGTATGAGAAACTAATATCTATTTTTGAATTATCTTAATACAGAGTTACAGTGTTGTTATTTGCAGCAGTCGATGTATGTATAGATAAGTGATAAATTGATTGACATGGCATTAATTATTATTAAGCAAAAATTAATGATAACTAATTTTCTTAAATAAGCACTTAAAGATATTTATTTTATTATCAATTTATTGTTTTTTTTTTACATTTTTTTGTTTATATGGACATGAAATAGTTTATCTAAATTCCAGTTCCACTAGGAGCTATATATTGTTCTCGGCATATTTGTCTTGCTTTAGTTTTAATGGCCAGCTTCGTAACGACCTAGGAATCTAAGCAATAAATACTAATTTTCCAGACCTGTTACTCTGGTCTTTACAAATTACTAGACTTTAGTAGTAGTTGCGTTCACCTAAAGTAAGTTTACGTCTCTTATTTGTATATATTTGTATGAATTTAACATGTAAATGAATGTTCATTAAAATTAAATTATTATAAACAAAATGATATTTTAATGAAATCTGTTAAAGGCTTTTTGACATAATGACAACATATCTCACTAAAAAGTAGAAAATTTATATGCGTTTTTCTTTCACATCCCAGACATTTTGAAAATCCATTACAGTATTTTATTTGTATCAACGTGAGAAAAAGTACAGTTTGACAATTCCGTGAGAAAAATTTGATTTCTCTTCCAATTTTTTCTATACATTCTAGCTTCTAGCTTTTTTCTTCGCGATCTGCATTCTTTTTTTAACTTGACTCTATCAGACGTCATCTGTCATATCATCACACACTTTTCTCTGTCACAAACTCCATCCATATTTTTTCTTGGTATATCTGTACTTAAGGATGAAGTATTGATTTTAATTTTTAAAAAGCATATTTTTTTTGTACATATTGTATAATGTTAATTTTCAAAAAAACACTTATTCTAAAAAATAACATGGGATTTTTTTATTTAGAACATTTCGAGAGCACTCGTTGCATTTTAACGCTTAATTCCTAGACTAGTTCTTCAGAAAAAAACTAAAGGAACCAAAACACAATTACAAGGGGAAGTTTTCACTGTTGTTTGGGACCACTTTGAAGAAACGCGATAATTGTTAGAATTAAAGTGCCTTCGCTCTCCTTAGATAAAGATGAAAGACTCACGCCCTTCTTTTTTATAGATTCCCTGTTTTTATCATCTTTTTCTTGCCCTTTCTTCTTTTTCATAGTTTTGAACTAATAAGTATTCTTTTCCCTTAAAAGCTGAGCCTATAACCTTTTATAAGGCGATAAGCTATATACCTTAAGATAGATCTACAGTTTCTTTTGCCAGATCTTTACAGGATTAAGGTACTTTTTGGCTATTTGTAGAATCAATAAAGTTTAATAGATAGTTTTGTGAAATGTAAATACATAATTGCAGCTGATGCGGTTGGCAGTTGCTAATGGTATATTTAGGTAAATTATTATCTTTTAGTCGGAAATGCTTACATGAATACCATCACGTCTTCTTCCAATAGCAATTCCTTCCCTATCTAATAGAGCACCACAGGAGGACTTTCACATACTACTGTGACGTCTTGAAATGAATATAGCTTCATGGTAGATAAATCAAATATACTGATTATAATAAGTAAACAATGGCGTAAAGAGATAATAGTCTTCTTAGATCTTGTGACTTACTATTCCTTTTTCCACGTATTGCAAATTTTACGGTGTGTCACTACATGAACTATCAACAACGGTTTTATACCATGATTTGTTTCAACTATTAATATTTTCATGGAATAATAACTAGCCAAAGTACAACAAATAACAATGTAATCTTGAAAAATGTTAACGAATAAATATTTCTAGAGTAAGATATATTAGAGTTTGAGAAAATACTATATATGTGACGTAATAAATGTATCGGGGAGAAAGAAAACACTAAGCCCTAACGTTTTCTAAGCCGTCCATCCCGCGTCGAACTGGCTACGCTCCAACGTAGCCATTGTGGCTACGAGCTCGCTATTGTGCTACGTCGCTACGAAATATTACCGGTAATACGAAATGTTCCTTCCATTGTTGTTTAATGAAAAATATTACTGTTATAATTGTATTTCTTGTCTTTTTAAACCTTTTAAATCCTAATTTTCTTGAGTATATTAAAAATTACAATTAAAGTAGAAATAAGATAAATTCATTTTTGTATAGTTTTAGGTGACGAACAAACTGACTCTACACTTGAGACATAAAGTAACGAGAACAAATATACAATATATTTGTGTTGTGAAAGTTATTTACTTTATAACCAGAAGTGTGCTCAATGCGATTTCTCATCTATATATTATATATAAATCAATTACTGTTCGATAGTTTGGCTAGAGCTAAAAACGGCTGGACTGATTTGAATAATTCTTTTTTTTTGTTGGGGGTGTGTGGGTAGTTTAAGAATAAAAAAATAGGGTAAATCCAAAAAAAACAGCTGGAAAATCGAAAAGTTCAGAACTGTTTATTTCGAATGGGAATCAATAACTGGTAAAACGTACCTAGGGACGAACCCGAGCGAAGCGACGGTGAGCTGCTACTGTACTCGGTAATATAAACTAGAAGCTCAAATATCATATGTTGGCTTCCCGAAATGACGAAATACTATGCTAACTTTTATCCCCTATTTTACCCCTTTAGATGACGAATTTATAAAAGTTCTTTCGAATATCTGTCCTACTGTGTCATTAAAATCCATTCAGGTTTTACATGGAAAAGTGAACAAACATCCATCCAGATCATACATCTATCCCCACAAAGGGGTCTATATTAGTTTAAATTAAGTACGTACGGTATCAGTGTCTGCTAGAAATGTATGAAGCGTCAGATTATACAGGAGACCTTTCAGTTTTAAATTAAGCTCGAGTCGTAGCATTAGTTACTACGAAAATGTCATTTTCATGATTTAGTAGAGTTTAGGTATAAATTTTATGATAGCTTAAAAAAATCGTAAAAAAATTGTTATAACAAAGCAAGCTAGCGATTCGACTTCGCTTTTTTCTTTTACACAGATAACGAATTTTTCAGTAATTTCTTAAAATATTCTTAATCAGTGGTTTCCGTAAGATAATAGAAGTTATACAATTCCCATAAAATATATTATATTATCTATACAGATATTATATATTATCTATACAGATAAATAAAATTAAAGTTTCCGTTTGTAATGTCAAAATAACAGCTTTTTACTAAATACATATGAAATTATATACGGTAATTATACCTAAAACATTTTTAAAATGTTTGTCTATCTGTCTGTTTGTTCCGTCTAATCTCTGAAATGGCTAAACTGATTTTGATGGGACCTTCATTGGCAGATAGCTGATGTTATATGAAATAACTTAGGCTACTTTCATTTAAAAAAAAGAATTAGGGTTTCGCTCAAAAAAATTAACACGTACCTATGGACGCACCCGAGGCGAAGCGAGGGTAAGTTGGTAGAAAATATAAAATCGTATGAGATCCCATATATATTTATATACTAGCATTGCCCGCGGCTCCGCCCACGTTCAGATGACCAAAAATAAAATTCTTAGGTTTTACATAGTATACTCTTACATTGAAGTTTTTGTAATTTTTCTCAGAAATTAGAGATTTTTTCGCGGTAAAAAGTATCCTATATGTAGACCCGGATAACCAGCTATCACCATACGAAATTCCTTAAAAGTCCCTCCAGTGGTTTTTCTGTGATGCAGAAACAGACAGACAAAAATTCTAAAAACTATAGATTCGGCCTCTGTATCGATAATAATGTTTATTTCAATAAGATTTTCCAAAAAATATTTAGTGTTCAGATTCGGCTTAGTTAGAATTTTATTATATGTATAGATTACAACTATGCAACAGCCCAACGTCAAATGAATTACGTCTGCAAATAATCACATCAGTTCTTTACTTTGAGAAAGCAAACCTACATACACACCTTTTGTTTGTATGATTTATAGATACTCGTATTTCTTTTACCTTTCCAGTAAATAATAATATATTTGTGTTTTAAAATCGACAACATTTCAGAAATGGCTTACGTAAATAAAAGTGACAATCATAAAGAAAATGAAATCATAAAAGTTTTATGCGTTGGAAAGCTCCGGCAATGCGAGTTGAATAAATAAATGACTAGCTCATGTCTCTTGACCGCGTCAAATGTTGCCATTTTATTTGGTACTCTTGAGTGCAGATGATATGGGGAATGTATAAAGACTAAGGTTCGATGCTCTCATACACACGCTTATATCGAATTTTTCGCTTTAATACTTATATATTTATGTATATACTATACATATAATAAAACTGTAACTAAGTCGAATCTGTATATAAAATATTTTTTGGAAAATAGAATTGATATAGCCATTATCGATACATAGGACGAATCTATAGTTTTTATAATTTTTGTCTGTCTGTCTGTCTGTGACCGCATCACGGAAAAACCACAGCAGGAATTTTAATAAAATTTGGTTTAATAACAGGTGGTCATCCTCAACATTGTTTTATAATTTTGAAATTATATTAAACTGTTATTTCAATTTTGGGGCTAAATAAAAAAAAAGTAAAATATAAAGTATCTATGTATATATGTGTGTATAGTAGTGTCCGCTCTGTGGTCAAGTTCGACCATAATCAGAGGAAAACATATATGAATAAAATTCACTTATTCCGTTATTCGTTTATTTCCACTTTTTTATTGGTAACACTAAAACTCGGCAAGAGCTACTAAACAAAAAAAAATAAGTCGGTTGACAAGCAGAGGAGAAAATATGCTAAACTATTTGGTCTTTTTTTATTTACATAAGTATAATAAAAATATTACGATACATTCACGAAAATACAATCGAATTGAGTCAGAAATCTTTTTGAAGTCAGAAAGTATTATCTCATATTACTGATAACATTTTCATCAGCTTTTTATAAAGTTAGAAAGCTACCAAAGTGAAATGAGCTTTACTTTAAATACATCTTTGCACCCAAGGAACCGTAAAATATTTCTTCTTTGCTGACGTCCTTATATATTATGACAAATAATAGAACGAATAACACACAATATTGAACCTTATGTGATTTAGAAATAAAACATATAATAGCATATTTATTTTATTGTTTTCCTGTATACGTTTTGTACTGTTTACTTTTGTAGTCAAATATCTTAAGGGTATGTTCTAATAAAATACTATAACATTTTGCATTTTTATTGAATAACTAGCAACTCACCATCGCTCCACTCGGGTTCGTCCCTCGTTACGTTTTACGTTAAAACGTTTAATTTATATTTCATCAAAATCTATCTAGTGGTTTTCTCGTGATGCGTTCACAGACAGGCAAAAATTCTAAAAACTATAGATTCGTCCTCTGTATCGATAATAATGACTACTCGTATTTCAATAAGATTTTCAAAAAAATATTTATTGTGCAGATTCGACTCAGAATTTTATTATAATTATGTATAGATATATATTCCACATAACTTATTCGTAGGTAACTATTGTATGAAGATGTACATTATTAACTACTTAATTATTTTGCGTTAGCTTTAATCGAAAGAGTTCATTGTTAGCTTTTGTTTGAACTCCAATAATTTTCAACAGCTCTACAGATAGAAAAATTTTTTTTTAGGTATATACGCAGTTTTTTTTAACGTTGGGAAATGGATTTACGCACGAGGTGTGGGACTCACCGGCAAAGCCAGTACTACCCACTAAAACCCAACATAGCCTTCCCCCGTCTTAATGGGGCGTCGCAGGATCGCTTACGCATTCAACTACGACGCCCCGACGGCAGGTCTGCCGAAGCAGACCACAACAACCACGGGGTTGCTCCAAGGTCCACTCTGCTATCAGAGAAGTACCAGGAGCAATCCGCATGGTACACCGTCCTCCGAAGAGGGCCACCTCCTTCCGCCCACTGAAGTGGGCCACCTTCCTGTGCGTTTCTTGGCTTCGCGCCCGGTTGGGTTGCCGGGCACTACTGAAAACCCCCCCACCACGAAAAGGTGAACGCACGTTGGGGGGGATATACGCAGATACACCAAGATAGGTAACGCGAAAATTTTTTCCATACAAAAATATATTGTATACCATTGTATACCTATTTTCATGGCTCGGTTAAATGATATAGAAGTTGTTGAGTTTCGGCGCCACCTAACGACGACTTACAGCAGAATGGATAGCATAAAAACCTTCTCTATCTAAAACACCTATTATGCC